CCACGACCCCCCCGGATCCCTGTGACTGTTGACACTTTTGAGACGCGAAGACCCGAGACGAGTCCAAAAGTGACGACAGTTCTGGGTTTCGCGACCACGACCCCCCCGATCCCCGTGACTGTTGGCACTTTTGAGACTCGAAGACGCAAGACGAGTCCAAAAGTGACGACAGTTCTGCATTTCGCGACCACGACCCCCCCGATCCCTGTGACTGTTGACATTTTTGAGACGCGAAGACCGGAGACGAGTCCAAAAGTGACGACAGTTCTGCGTTTCGCGACCACGACCCCCCCGGATCCCTGTGACTGTTGACACTTTTGGAACGCTAAGCGTAAAAAGTGACGACATTTCTGCGTTTCGCGACGATTTGCGACTCCCGACGATGCGCGCCGCTCTCCGACACTCGCGAACGCTTGCGGACGCTTGGCGAACGCTTGCGGACGCTTGGCGAACATAAACGCAACGACCTCGCGTCGCCTCCTGGACCCCTGGACCCCAACCTTAAAACGGGAACCCTTCTGCTACGCATTCGGGAAAAAGGTTTTCCAACGTTTTGCTTCGTAGACAAACCCCGGCACGTGGCAAGGTAGAGTCGGAAGACATCGTGGATGCAGCGTGGCTTGAATCCATAGGCGTGGTCGTGCTGAATGACTCTTTCAACGTTGAACCTGGTGCTTGTCAAGCTTCACTTAGCTGCGGCCCTACCTGTGGAACCCTTGCCGCGGTGCCAAGCTATACTGAGGCCATTGCGCAAAAGTCTTCAACATCCCTTAGCAGGAGCCTGAGAGCTTTGGAGGCTTAACAACGCCAGCATGTGAAGCAAAGCATGCTGAATTAGATTGCCGAGTCTTTGAGGTCTCGTGCCAAGCAGAAACATGCACATGCATTGCGCGCAGTGCGAAGGGTTTGACCGTAATCGCTGTAGCTCAGGTAAAGCTGCAAGCCCCGCAACTCGTTTGCACTTTCACCAGTACCATTCCATTTCCTTTTTTGCAGGATTCGCAGGTCACCTCAGAACCATACTGCTTCAGAAAAACACCTGGCAGTCCATGCAAGCCGACTGAGAAGCGCATGATTCGGCAACGCCCCCACAGCTCTTGGGGAGGATCATGTGGGAGAGATCCGACGACTCATCAACCAGCGTCTGCTCCCGGCTGGCAAGAAGGCGTGGTCTCACCGGGCAATACTGTAGTGGTTTATACAGGTGTTTACACAGGGAGTATTGCGGGGACACGCAACCTCGAGCCTTGGTCAGGCAAAGATGTTCGGACAGCCAGGAGACCTGGGTCCTGATCCTTGGTAGCATTCAAACCATTGGCTTTAATACATGAAGTTCTCCATGCAGACAGCTACGACCAATGCCTGCAATGCATCTGTTGACACCCTGCAGGTGCTTCAAGATTTGGACAAGATGGTAGCTGGACACTTGGCACTTGCCGACAAAAAAAGGGGGACAGCTGGCCAAGTGCTGGTCTTCTGCAATTGCTTTGTAGAGCGCTTGGGACGAACTTTGAAGTCTGTGTGGAAGTCCTTGTATCGATTGGCAAGCAACAGTCTGTTTGACATATCCATGTGTGACGGCTGGGTTTCAAGTCATGGCAGAGCTCAGTTCAAGGTTTATGCAACCTGGCATCTGTTGGCTGTACATTCTCCAGGTGGGCCCCTTCTTGACGGGCGAGGAGGTCACTGTAGCGGACGTCTCCGCGGCGCCAATGTGCCTTGGTTTCTGCTGCATTGATAGCAGCACGGCTGCTGTCGGCAGTGGGCTTCAGCCACCTCCTACAGTAATACATCTGGCTGCTTGCGACCTTTGGTCATGGCCACACCACCAGAGGCCTGCCCCTTGCTCAACTGATTCTGTTCCAGCGAGGCTTCAGCGCATTTTTGAAGACGGAATGGTTCCGGAGGAGTCACGGCCCATTAATTAAACTCTGCAGTTGTGAAAAAGAGTCGAGCACTAGAACATCCGTGAAGCTGTAATCAAAGCTACTGGAAAGCCATAGTGATTCTACGGCCTTAGTGCCCCACCGTGCCCGTCAGGAGCTCACCCAGCTGCACGCCTGGTGGAACGCAGTCAATGCCCTACCCTCCTTCCAGAAGACAATGGTGCGATCGTACTGGTGGTGGTGGTGAACTGCAGAGGCTGAGCATTCCAACAGTTTGAAGAGACACTTTTGCTTGCCCCTGGATGGGGTTGCATGCACCATGCCTTCTGCAGCTTCACATTTTGGGCGTCAGGTCATGCTGCGACAAGGTCCCTTGTTGGGGGAGCCACTTTGTGCGCTGTCCTCTGCCAGGCTGCAAAGTGCTATACTTGGCCTTTCTCCTTGGCTTGACATGGCAGTCAAGCCTTCACTCCCGGATTGGTATGTTGGTTGCTTCAACACTGCTGCGCTGGCACTGAAGCGGTTTTCCTTTGGCTGTGCCTTGTGAGACTGGAGCTGGCTATGTCTGGAAAAAGGCAGTGCCGAGTAGGTCGCAAGCCTGCCCGCGTAGTTCAACTGATGTCGAGTGCTCGCCACTTGGAATTGCGAAGCTGGCACATAAGAAGAGTGTGGGTTTAGGGTTTACCTCAGCCCCAACATGCAGAACTTCATAATCATGAGCGGCAGGCAAGAAAGCCAGATCATACACACGACAGAGTCACTACAGAAAAGTTCAAAGCAAAGCAACAGCGCTAAGAGCTGAGCACAATGCTCCGCCTCACCATTTCTAGCTTTGCTCAGTCAGGTGGCCTGCGGTGACATACACACCCTGGTGCTGGACAGGGAAGTGCCTGGGACATCATAGCTATGACGTGATGTTGCTTAAGTCTGTTGACATAGACCAAGACTTCATGGCTTTTCAGTTGTGACACTGGAGAAGGCTTGGCCTGGACAATGAACAATCAATCCTGACAAGGGAAGCTTAGAGACTGCACATCAGCACTGGTGCTTTGTTAGTATAGCCTGACTTCAAGAGTCTCAGCTACTCAGCCGGACTTTGGAGCAGCATTCTATGATTTCTGACACTCTGCACTGACACTCCGCAGGGGCGGGTCCATTCCACCGGCCGGGGTAGCTTTGGGCAGCTGGGTGCTTGCCTTGGAATGCCTTGATTCTTACCCAACAACCCAGATATCCTTCAAGCAGATTTCATGTTCTATGACATGCCAGTTGCCCAAGGTCGGGGTGGGATAGCTTCCAAGAGTGATGAGCCGGATTTCCACGAGGCTGTCCGGTGGATGCACCAAGACGGAGAACTACATAATATGCATGTTGAGTGTGCGCTGAAGTTTGTGATATCTGAAAGGCAGCAAGGGTACTTCACGTTGGAAGTGCTCAAGTCAGGATTTTTGGAGAGAAGTAGCTCCTGACATCTTTGTCTTCCTGCTGAGTGGGTCCCATCCAGGTTCAATACTTCAAGAAAACCACAGACTCCATCCTCAACCCGGGTGAGGACTCTAGACTTGCGTTGCTTTCTGCCAGGGGTCTTCTTCTTGTCTTCGCTTACATGCAGAGTGGCCCTGAGAGAGGGGGAGCAGATTCACCAGCCTTACCTTAACTTATTTGTATCTTGGATTCTGTTTGTTAGAGCCAGGAGCCTGTGATCGTGAAGGCAGGAAACTGGTTTCCCGTGAGACGGTTGTATGGTGTTGTATTTTTGACAGCAAGGCCAGCAACAGAAGCACACAGATTCAGGACAAATCAAGAGGCCAAGCATTCCAAGCTTGCTTCTCGAGCTTGCTGAGCAAATTTCGCTCGATGAGCATCAGAGTGCAGCTACATCCTGTACGCGTAGCATACAGCATAAAGGAAGGTTTCTTCGCGATTGGTCGTACGGAACGAGTCACACAGCTAGATTCAGCTAGGTTTTTCTTGATACTGTGATTAGCGTGTGGATCCTCCGAGCTTCTTGATCTGCAGAGGTAGATGCAGGAAGAGAATTCTCTGCTGCGATGTCTTCTCACGGTGAAATCTGGGTGAAGCTCTCAGATGGATTGCCAGCATGATCTGCACGTTAACACATGTTGCTCCAATATAAGAAGTGCAGAGCTGCATCCAGCGTAAGGTCTGGGGTCGCAATGACTACGGGCAGCTTGGTATGGGCCGCAGCCTTACATAGTACGGCTACTAGCTGCCGAGCTGCATTGTGCCGTGATTAGGTGGTGTGACCCACCAGATACCCCTGAAGATGTTGGCAAACCACATGCTTGTAGGATTCGAAGTGATGCGGATGCGGGAGTTCTGCGTGCATTATCCTTTCCTGGCCGCGCACTGAGGAAACCGTAGGCCTTAGGCTACCTGCCGTAGGCTGTTGTAGCTTGGCAAACTGCAAGAGACCAGGGGATTTCTATTACCGTTGAATTCATGCTGACAGAAGAGCCGCAATCAGAGCCTGAACGTTCTACACGTAATGTGGTCCTCCTTCCCAGCTTCCGTTGGTTGCCAGCCGACGAAATGCAACTGCTTCATTGTGCCGGACAGATGCGAAACTTGCCCATGGAGGGCCACGTTCTGCGGGATTTTGTGGGTGCCCAAGAGCTGACCAAGCATGATAGGATGGTGGCCACTGCAAGCAACTGCGAAGCAAACACTCAGAGATTTGGAAAATGAGGCAGGGAAGCAGAGGAGAGTACGATGATGGCCTTGTCAGGCCTGTGGCGACCACCACATCGTAGCAGTGACGAGCGCAGGTGCGATCTACGAGCTGAGGGCTGAGCATTGGCAGTATCTCAGGGTCAGGCATGACAAGTGCCATGCGCGACGCGCGACACGAGTCAAGCAAGATACATAGTAGGGCCCAGATTCAAAGAGCACTGTTGAGCCTGTGGCCTTAGGTTTGAGTGGGCTTGTCCTAAATTCATGAAGGCCTGCGATACACTATGAATGCCATCAGTTTTCCTGAGGTGGGGAGACAGGCAATACTTCGAACCGACCTCCATCACTTTGCCGAGCCGCTACCAGGTTAGCAGCTGCTAGTATTGCCAGTGCTTTCTTCTTTCAATTCCGCGCCTTGCAATGTTGAAGTTTGGCCTGCTGAGCAGAAATGAACAGGATGCGTCTGATCCATCCCCACGGCTTTCACGCACACCTTGCCCCCCCAATCCACTGTGAACCTCCAGAGTAGGCTCCCGGCATGTTCTGGCAAATGCAACGTCTACGCAGGAAGGCCTCAAGGGTATCTGGAAGGTGGCAGCTGGAGCGAGGCAGGCTTTGTTTCTTTCAGTCATGTGTCAGTGCCCCTTAGTATAGCACCTATTGTTCGCGAATTCTTCACATTGCTTTACATTGCCTCCTTGTCCTTCAACAGTTGCTGTCTGACAATGCCGACGCTCATAGCTTTAGCTGCAGTGGCATGGCATGGAGACATCAGAGCCATCAGCCTCCTTGGGCTGTTTCAAGAAAGAACTATGTGCTTTGCTTTAACTTTAAGGACAGTGTCCGCTTTCTAGGCAATTGCCCATTCCAATTCAAAAGACACAAAGCATGCCATGGTTCCATATCTTTCTAGAACCAAGAGTGCTTAATCAATTGACCAATAGTGCTTTCACGAGGGTCCTTGCATGCCATAGACTGGGAATCATCACATTGTCCTTCAACAAAGATGCGAAGTTTCGAGTCTAAGGGGCAGGTTGAAACCTCTCAACAATCTGAACAGAGCCCTCCTAGTAGCATGCTAAAGAGCATGGACCAGATTCGGACCCGAATAAACCCTGGATCCCTAAGCGGCGACAATCTTTCAGGGCGCACGAGCTGCATTTCATTTTGTCTATTTTGTGTTTCTGATTACAAACTTGGTCCAGATTGGGCGATGTGCCAGAATACAATTTCTTTGCATGCCCTTAAAGCCCCTCTGCATTCACCTCCGCCGCGGCCACCCACAATCTGCAGTAAGTTCCCAGCCAAGCTTTCGCAAAGCTTTCTGTCCGCAGTTGTTCATTTGCCTTGTCAATGGACGGGTCACTCTACAGCTGGGGCCGCAAGTTGCCCACTCAGCCACGGAGGTCGCAAAAGCTTGCGCTCAAAGCCATCCGCTGCAAAGCAAGTCCACAGCACATCGCATGAGATGTGTGAATGGCTTCAATTGAGGGGCCATTTGCTCCTGCTGTAGGTCGAGCGGCTGCCTAGCGCTCGGTGATTCCTGCGCACATCTCAGCACACACCACTTACCCCGCAAGAGCCCATGCCTGCTGCAAACTTGCGGGCATTTCCAAAGGCCGTGCAAATGCATACCATCGAAAGACGCAGGACTAGAGCTCTGAGCGTTGCTGAAAAGCTAAATAAGAAGCAAAAGTTGGTTGGACTGTTCGTGGGGCGTCTTTGCGAATGGTCAACGGTGAGTCGTCAAAAGCAGCTTACACACCGCCTTTGGCATTTGGGATCATGTAGGTCTGCAAATCTATGACTTGTCCTGTTGAAATCCCTGCGCAGTGCTGAGGTGACGACTGGGTCCGAAGGCCAGTACAGATTCCGTCGGGCCTTCGGGAGCTTCAGCGCACTCATATTTTTGGCGTTTCTGCGTTCAGTGAAACACGTTATAGCACCAGGTTCGTACACTTCCGCATGCTTGAGGAGTTAGGTTTGCGAGCAGAATGGAGAAGAGACTGCAGGAGACCCTGAGCAACTGTGACAGGTGGCAGGCCTTATCTTGACTGCGCAGATTGCAGGAATAGGACTCCCGCCAAGAGCCTGCGCTGAGGCCTGAAACGTTTGGAAACCAACGAGTGGTGGACATTGTGGATTGGCTCTCAGGTGCTGGCTAGCATGAAGTCACTGGTGAATTTCAAGGACTCCAATACAGATGTTTGCTTATAGCGGGTGTACCCTAAAGGTAGAAACTGCCGCAGAAGGTACTGGTGGCAAAGACTCCTGGCACTTACCTTCCCTACATCTGCATGTCATTCGCCTTGGCGTTTGCATGTTATTTATTTTGCCTTCATTTGTCTAAATTGTCTCGGGCATTTTAGCTTTTTGCAGGCATCATAGGTGAGAATTTTCGACAAGCATTTGGATGGGCTCTGAAGTCATCAGTCCGTCAATCCCCGGCGCCACATGCTGCTCAAGCTTGATCATGCTACGCAGTCAGCAAGACAGCCTGTTTCTTGGACTGACAAAATTCAGTCGGACTCACTGCTTCCAGTCACTGATTGATAAACAGAAGTCGAGGCCTGCAACCTACAGGAGATTCACACGAGCAAAAACCAGGGGGGAAAGCTGATTGTTGTGCAGAATCCGCCCCATCGGTATGCAGGCTGCGACGGCTAAGGCCTGGGCAGTCACAAACAGCTGGTCTTACTCGTAATGCCTCAGCTTACTTCTTCCATCGCCACCATGCAAGGTCGCGCTGCCTAGGACACTGCAGCCGCTTCTGAAAGCCTTGCGCTCCAGCGAACCCTCCCCAGCGTGCCTTTGAGAAAACGACTTCAGAAGTAGCAAGGTCCCCCAAATGGAAATATCCGGGATGCTCAGCACAAAAATGTAGATTGGAGACTCCAATTCCGCAACGCGTGTCTGCACCAGTTGCTGCAATGGTATGAAGAAGCAAGATGTTGGAGAGACAAACTGCCCACACGCAAGGCTTCCAATCGTGGACGCTTGCAGCGAGAGTGTCAGAAACTGGTTGTCCACGTGGCTGCTTCACGCAACCTGTGCAAATGTGATGCGTCTTAGGGGATGGCGGGGGAAACCGATCGATTGGATCACATGGTACTTCATGGTAGCTACATTAATAAAATGAACTGCTTGTAATACTCGCATGCACTTGTCCTTTCTTCTGCCGGGTCACCCACTTTGACATGTCAGGCAGTTGGCTTCCCGCGAACTTACTGGCAAGGCCTTTTCATTGGCCCTTCGCGTCTTTGCTTGGAAGCTCAAATGCTTGTGGCGTGTCGCTTCCCCATTTTCCAGGGTATGGGTTGACGTGCAGGAGGGTATGCCGGACAATGGTTTAGATTTACAAGAGCTTTAAGCTGTGAACGCGACCATGAAGAGCATCCAAGGGCCTAGCTGCATCATCTCCCTTATATGATATCATCAATTCTAGACGTACCGCTCGCTCAACCTCTGCCCAGATGACGTGAAGCACGGGGCGGAAGCTGCAATGAGGCTTGGTGAGCGAAGCGCAGAGTCTGCACGATTATCTGGCTCTTTTGCAACCAACATTCCCTTAAACCGCGATGGCCCTTACCGACGCATGCTCGCAATTCTTGCGCTGCCTCATGTGGTTCTTGGCTGCCTTGAGGCATCTCACTGAGGGCCGCAGCGTGGCTCACAGCCCACTCGTTGAGGCATCAGGGGGTCAAAAGAAGGATGCATCAAATCAGTCGGTGAAGCTTGGGCCTGAAGTGCTTCCTTTGAACACTAGATACCGGCCACGGATTACATAGAGAGAGAGAGAGAGGTCATCATGCACCTTGCAAGCTGTTTTCTGCCTTCACCCCAGGGAGCGCCAGTCAACGTATATAGGCGGGTAACTAGCACATTGACCGTCAGCAAGAACTTTTCCTGCGGGTAACAAGCCACCATCCACCAATGGATGTAAAAGACTGCGGAGGAATCACCCCCTGTACAGTAACCCGAGTGCTCAGGGATGACTCGGATGGGGCGGATGTGATTCAGGGTATCAGACTGCTTTTTTATGTGTTTAGTTTGGTTTGTTGGAAAAACAACCCTGCGAAAGGTTGAGTGTGAATCAGGCGTATATGTGGGGTATCGTGGTGCATGAGTCCAAACATTTCACTGAGTGCTTGCCGCCTGGGGGAGCGAGAAGTGTCAATGGTAGCCTACTAGTTTTGGCGTTGGGAGATGTAGTTGGATGATCCGCTAGGGAGTGGAAAGGCAGCAACTTCAGCCTCTAGTAAAACTTCGCCGTACTGTCAATAGAGCAGTCGAGCGGGGAGACGATAGGCAACACCGATGCGCAAGCAACACTGGGGAGTACCTTTAGTGGGGGGTCATGGGTAATTGCGCGGCCAGTAGTCGGCTGTTTTTCAGATTCGGGGAGTGCTGGATGGCTGTCGGTGCTAAGTCTCACCACAGGCTGGAGAAGTGGAGAAGCTAATATGGGACGTCGAAACGGAAAAAACATCTGGGGGGAAATCTTGGAAGTCCTGTGTTTGCAGTATCCAGGATGGACGTTGCGTGGCCATGGGGCGTAGCCCCAACCTGCCTCTTAGGGGGTGTGTTTGGCCAGTAGAAGCAGAAGAGGCCATCATGCTCAAGCTGCCTGTGTCCTAGAAATCTGTGGGGCAAATCGGTGGCAACTCTGGGATCCCTGCCGGTAGCGCAGAGAGCTCGGGATCAAAAGCCAGTGCTCTCTTACAGCTGTTTCCAGGAGCGGTGAAGTTCACATAGGGAGTACTTTCACGGATTATGTATCGGATCCGGGCCTTATGTCTCTAGTGCTCTGTAATCTGCGTGGAGCTGTATGTGTTCAGTAACCGGGACCTGGGGCAGTGATCGCTGACCAGGAGTGTGCGCCTGCTTTGGGCTTTGCCCCAGCCCTCCCTTCCCCGGGGGGGTATAGCAGTAAGAAGAAGAAGAAGAGAGAGTTCAGACACTGTATGACACTGTTGCAGTGTGAAGGGCTTTCCTTGAATCACAGTCTTGAAGTCACCCCTCGCCACTAGCTTCACGTGCAGGCAAAGCTTCGGGAGGTTTTTGTTGATGCGGCCGCTGGCCTCGATGAAGCCAAGCTAGCCGCTTTCTACGGCAAAGTCAGGGTGAGCAGCACTAGCGGAGTTTGCTCGTGATGCTTGCTGAGCTCACACGCTTTAAAGATGCGAGACAGGCAGGGGCATGAGTGGCATTGCTGAAATCAGCGGCTAAGGACTTGACATGGGACCTGGATGTCACATCCGTTCAATTGAGCAACTTTCTCCTCGTGTATGGATTAAGGCGTTCGACAGGCCCTGGACCTGTTCAGTGAAGAGGTTTCCATTTGAGCCCTCGCCTGCCAGGCGGTCGCACCGCTGGCCTGTACCGAAAACCTGTCTCCGGGCACTATGTGGAAGCTCATCTGCAGTAGTTGCATTCGTCTTTGCACTCGTTTCTTGGCTGTTGGAAATGAAGCTGCTTTTTTCTATTCTTGTCATTTTCTATTCCACCCTGTCCTCCTGTCCAGCAAACAGGTTTCCAAAGAGTCGACAGCTGGGCTCTGGGAAGTGGCTACAGCTGCTCTGGAAGGCAAAGCCAAAGCCGGCTAAGACCATTCCATCATGGCATGGCGCACTTATCGAATTCTGTCGGGATCCATCCTTCGGTGAGCCTCCTGCCTGATCAACATCCCACATGCCGCCGGTGCCCAGTTTGGCCTATTTTGCATCATTCTGCCAGGCGGCACGGTTTGTGCTGACTTCGTCCTCACCTGCGACCAGGCATGTTGTAGGTCGTCCTCACTCAAATTGACCGCTGCTTTCAGCCCAATGAGTGCCTATACAAAGGGATGATGACCGTGATGTCAAATTTTGCCAGGTTGCTTGAAACAATATTCGCTGGATTGGAGTTTGAGAGAGACTCCATCCCCCCAGATCATGTCATATAGACTCGCTGAAGTGCCGCGGCTGCCTTGCACGGTGCTCCACAGGTGCTTCAGCTGAGCTGCTCCGAGACCCAGGAGACGAGACTCCGCGAGGTGCGGGTAGTTACGAAGCAGTTGCCCGTTAGCACATTGCAAAGGGCTAAAGTTTAAAAGACACTTGGACTGATATCAATCAAATGTAAACTGATTCGTGCACCAGGCAAAAACTGTGGAACATCGACTTCGGCTGGAGGCAACTTGGATGCGCTGGCCGTTTCGCAGCTGCTTCATGACGTGCAGCAGGCAGCATGTGGCTCAGGACCTTCCATGTAGCTGTAAACGTGCATGACAATGACTGTAACTTCATATGTACAAAACTTGAAATTATTCTTGACATATGAAGGAATGAAACCACTCACATGAGCTCTGGTCTGCCCCGCCCACAAAGTAACGTTTCCCCAGGCAGAATGGACCCCAGCGGAGGGCGAGAACAAGGATATCCCGTGGCCTTGTAGCACTCAACAGGGCCAACAGGGGAGAAGCATGCCACGACAGGACCGCTTTCGCGCATGCTGAATCCTATAACGGCGTCATGCATAGTGCAGGCATGCATTCATGTACTGATCAATCTGATCCATGCATGTACATGAAGAACAGAAGAAAGATTACGCATCGTATTGACCTGACAGTCTGAGGCCGAGGTTCGATGACCAGAGAGGCTTTTTTGGGAGGGGTGGGTGGATCAGGGCACTGGTGTTTTTTCCATTTCAGCTCGGTCCACATGCAAAGCTTATTGTCTAGCATGGGGATGACCATCAAAGTGCGGCAAGAATGTGTTGAAGGCAGAAGTTGGTGACCAGTATCATCAGCCGCAAGCGGGCAGCAGAGCCAGCAAGATCAACTGCAACATGAACCTCCCTTGTTCCTGTCTGAAGTAGGAAGAGTTGCATGCAATCCCATTTTACGAAGGACATGTGTGAATAGCCTCTGACTTATTTGCAAAGCCTCAGACCTCAGATTCAAAAGCACCTGTGAGGCTGGCTGATTACCGACCTGAATGGTGCTGCCGAGTTCAACAGCCCTGTAGCCAACATCCAGGAGGTGGAGTAACGGAGCAAACGGTCTTCCCTGGCTTCAGCTCTGAAACGCGAGCGCTGGTTTGCTGCACACTCCATGGCCTTCCTTGCGCTCCATGAAGTACGCCACAAGCAAGTGCAGCTCCTCCAGCATCTCCGGTGCGACAGTCCGCAGCTGGAATAAATTTGCAGACTGAGGGAGGCGTTTCACTCAAGAAGCCTTTCGCGAAGCAAAATGCCTGCAGGCCAGCATTCAAAAAGCCTCCAAGACCCTGACCATGTCGCATGCTGTGGCTGCGTGCTAATCCATGCCAGAAGGCCTGGCTCTTTTCTCCATCAGCGGTTTGGCGTGGATGCGCGAATTGTCATTGACCTCAACAGGCCCGATTGTTAGGAAGGAACGCCGTCGTACCGTAGTATGAACAGTGTCTGTACTAGTATGCAATGTCTCTCTCCCTGTCTCTCCCTCCCTCTCCTCTGCTTGGAAGCTCGTGTTGTGCGCTGCACTTCCAGCTTCGCGCGTTCGCAGCTGCAACTGGCACAAGCGGACTCAGGCTTCAAACCGCCGATGCATGGCCATCACGGAGGAGATCTGACAAGTCCAAGCCAGACTTGTGCTACGCGTTCCCGCGGTAGCAGCAGAAGCTGTTACCACATTTTCCATCAGAACGAAAGCCCACCAAAGCGAATGTCAGTCTAAATTCACCCCACAGCCATTCAGCTTGTTTGTTTGGCTTGCCACATCTTGCAATCCATGAGACACAACCTGCATGCTGTGGAGCTCGCCTCGTAGTGCCTGGTGTGAAGGATGTATTTGTCTGCCCCCGCACCGAGGCAGCAAAAACTTTACTAGCGTTCGCAGGAAAAGGGCCGTTGCTTCCTTGACTTCCGTGGTGCTTCGTCCCAAGGCTATGCATGCAAGGCTGCAAGGGTTCATCAACTCCACGCGGCGTGGTGTGAGTAAGGTGAAATTGAAAAAGTCTCTGCTACAGGGTGGGCGGTCCGTGCACTATTTGCAGTGTTGGTACTTCTGGGCTGTTGCTGAAAACTGTTGCAGCAAGCTGGCACAAAGTAAATATCCGCAACAAAACAGTGTCCATTTCAAGTTCCATTCTCTTTCCATTGATTTTTCATCTCCTTGTGGCATGGGCCGATCAATCAGCCTTTACATCCCTCCAACACCCCCTATGTATTTAGCCGTTGTATAGCTCTGCATAGTAGTCCCCAATCGAGATTGCTCACAGCCATTGCTCTGCTGCCTTCCTTAAATAGAAAAGCCACACCGTTTGCCTCGCCTACTTACACGAGAAGCGTTGATTGACGATGTTGAAGCCTCTTCCGCACAGCTTCTGCCGAGATTCAGTCTGCAATTCTCATCCATGCCGTGTAGTTCTGCAAGCAACCCTCGGGGCGAGAATATAGACAGGTCTTCAAGAAATTCCAGGCAAACCGCAAGGTACGTGCAATGTTGCAGGGGCAATTCTGCATCTTCTTCTTTGGCTGTTGAAACACTGAGTTTGCAGACAGATTGTGCTTAATTAACATACGGTGCTAACTGAGCTCACTACTTCAAGTGACTGTGTCCGCGTGTAACAGTGTAACACGCTCAGAGATGTGATCCCGTCATCCTAGCCCCACTATAGATCATTCAGACTTTCAAGGGATGCTCCGTAGCCTTTCTGCGCATTTCTCGCCATCCATTGTCCGATGCTAGCTTGCTGCTCATCCCTCAGTACTTGCAGAAGCTCCTCAGCCTCCTGAACATGCTGACAGCTTTGAGCGGGGAAAGCTGCGGTTGAGCTTGAACTTGCACCTTGCGGTCCAGCTTCCAGATTTCTGACCAAGGCCACAACAGCAGCGATGAAGAGGAGATAGAGGAGGAGGACGAGGAGGAGGTTGACAGCGACAAAACCCTACCGACAGATCCCGAGGACTTTTAACCTCCCTGAGTTGCTCAGGCTGCTCTTTTATACAACTACTCATATTGACGATTGTGACATCTCATCAACTACTGAAGTCATCTAGTGTGCTCAACAGAGAGCCGGACTTGCATGAGGACGAAAAGGGACTGTCTGCCTGGGAGAAGGAGTTGGCCGCAGCTTCCTCGGTTGTTGCGGTGCAGCCGCCAGTCAATTTGCTCAGCATCATGGAAGCTGTTTGGACCAGAATGTACTAATTACAGGTAAGCTTTTATTGCTGTGTTCAGGACAGCTCGGGCCCGGGGGTGTGGTAGAGGGCTCAACCGTTTTGGCAGCTGAATGCGGCTGAGGAAGTCGCAAAAGAGCAAGCCGAGTCAAGATTCATCGAGCAAAGAATGCCGCAACAATGCGTAGCACGCGCGACACCACTGGACCACTGACATGGTCATGCATAAGCTGCGCTGCACATATCGTATCATGCCATCCTGCGCAGCATCCAGCTAGGACAGCCAGGATGAGGAATGCTGGGCATGCAGTCAGCACACAAAGTCTGGGTTGCTGTTAAGGAACTTGAATTAGGTCACGAAAGCTAGCTCCTTGGAGCTTTCGAGAGTTTCTGTTTACTAATATAATCTCCTGGGCTACCATTTGGGCCGATATATTGTAGGTTTGAAGGTGCGGGGGGGGGGGCCTCCCCCCCCACCTAAATGACACCCCATTCTTCTTTGAATGAGCGGTTTTCGTCATGCTTCTGCAGGCTTGCATTGAAAGATGGGCCTGCCGAAATTCAAGCAGTCTCAGAGTAGCATGCTGGCAGGCATAGGGGACAGCATTGGTAAACCTATAGGCCGATTTCTTCTGGCAAGCACAGCAGGCCGTACTGCTACTAGACCTACACTTTGGAAAACCGGAGCAGAACCTGGAAATTTTTGGTTGGCAAGTTTTCATGTTGTCGACAATTTGCTCGGAGGAAGCAGCTGTTATTGCTGGCGCGCTTTCGTGTTGTCGACTGCTTGCTTGGAGGAAGCAGCTGCAGAGTCGCAGACCCCGAGTTGAGGGGAGAGGGTCAGTGACTCTACAGCTGTTGCGTTCAGGCAAGCTGTCGACAACACGAAAGCCTGCTCGAGGCGCTGCTCCGGTTCTCAGGATCAACGTGCAGGTCTAGCAGGTCTAGTAGCAATACTGTCCGTTGCGCTTGCCAGAAGAAACCAGCATGGAGGTGTACCCATGCAGTCCCCTATGCCTGCCAGAATGCCACTCTGAGACTGCTTGAACATCGGCAGGCCAATCTTACAATGCAAGCCTGCAAAATCATGACCGAAGGGCATGCGCAGATTGCATAGACATTCATGTCAACCTGGCTCATTCAAAGAAGAAACATAGATGAGTGGATCCACAGGTTGGGGGGGGTCGATCACAGCAGACAAGCCGGACAGATTTTTTTTTATGAATGCTCATCGAGTGTTGCCCAAGTGGTTGTGCCTGCGCAGCGGCCGTGCAAGACACAAGAAAGAGGATTACGCAGGGATTATAAACGGATATATAGGGATTCCTTTGTGACAGCGGAGACTCCAATGGAGAAGAGACTGGAAGAGAGTGGCATTGCCTGGTGGTTCATGAGGGCTAGCGTGCTTTACCTCTCATCAGCAGGGAATGTGGAAGCCAGTGTATCACTGGGTTCTGCCGGGACACTCGGGCAACACTCGATCAGCATGCTTAAAATAATCCTGCCCGCTTGCTGTGATAAGGCTTTCGTCCGCACAGCTCTCAAGTCCCCAGAATATGGGGATATACTGTAGTATATGATAGGGTTTCCTTGTCATGGTATCTTATTTAAGTTCCTTGTCCTTAAGAGCAACCCAGAAGTGCATCATTCTGAAGGCGCAGAAGGTAAATGCCAAGGCATTGGGCCACCTCAGACACGCTTGGCCCACATCATTGGTACACCGTGCGGACGATTGCACTGAGATGAGAACTGTTGAGCAAAGTTTGGCATTTTGATATTCCAAACTCAATCATTCCAGACTCAGCAACAAGCAGCACTTTGCTTGCAAGGTGGAGGTTCTGGATAAACGCCTGCGGAAGCTGTCGTACTTGTCCTAGCCTCGGCACACTGGCAGGGGCCTGGCGTCAAGAGCCTCCAACGGCTCCAGGACCCTGCAAATCCTTCGGAAGGATTGTACTTCAACTGCCAGCGTTGTGGATGGTGCGTGGTGCCAGATGTGCTCTGCAGATGCCATACTTTGCGTGAATTCAACCACCTCTGCAGCAACAATTCAGGCGCCCTTTACATCCATCAGTTGCAAATGTTGAAGCAAATCATGAGCTTTGGGCACACAGACAAGGCACACCAACCATGTGATCCACAAAAACTTCCGCAAGTATGCCGGAGCGGTGACGGGCGATGGCCTGCAACACAGACGGTGGTGATGAGAACATGTCGGGCTGGCTTTCGACCACATGGGCCAAGGCAGCCAAGCCATCACTCCGGAACAAGTTGCTCGGATGGCGCCGGAGGTCCTGTACTCCATTTCATAGTCTCGACTTGCAGCTCGAGGGGAGTCATGTGAGCAGGTTTGTTAGCTGAAGCGCAAATGTCGCAAGCAGTAGCTATGGAGGAATGGCTGCAACACTTGCTGCCTGTCCACCCCATTGCCATCCTCGTTTGTCTTGCCTTGCTCGGCATCCTATCCAACTTGATCTTTCCCGCCTGTAGGTCGCACAATCCCTGGAGGTGCCAGCAGCTGTGTTTAGCCAGGCAGGACATAGGGTTGAGTTCTATCAATCCTACAGCGCATCTTATAATGTGGGGCGCCTTGTATTTGGATGCAGACTGTGTGGCAGGTGCTTCAAATTTGCCAGCGCTTCGATTTCGATGGCACTGGCCTGCTCCCTGACGGAAAGCTAGAAGGTAAGTAGATGTAGACGCATTTTGGGCGGTTCTGGGCGCCCTTTTTGCCGTCCCCAAACAGAAGGATGTTTGTCACGTTGGGGTATGCGGAGGGTGTGAAGCGGCTCCCTGCTTCATGCTGCACCTCAGGCTGAACAAGAAGCAGTGCACGGCCATGTTCAGGCAAGCAGACTGCAACTTGTCCGCGGAAACTGCTGAATTGACTTCGTTTTTCGCAGGACGATTCTCAGGCAAAAGCGGAAGGACATACCCTCTCCCGCTAAACATGCAAATTCTTCATCTCCCCGCAAAAGTGACAGTGGTGCCACTTTTGGGATTCCATGTTAGTTTGAGGCACGTTAGCTTTTTCGTTTGGAAAGGCCATGATGGAACACCCAGACTTGCAGGAGTGGGGTGGCCGAAAACTCTCTGGCGACGTCCCATACATGGGCCTGCGGGAAGCTGGCTACACCGTTGACCGGGACTGTCTTGCTCACAAAGCCATGCTGCAGAATCTCACAGTAGGCTTGCTCCAGGGCTTGCATAATTCCACTGGGTGGCGAGGCGCGTTTTGGATGCAGTGTGCCATGGCCCTGCCTTGCAATGCTGGAAATATACTTGGTCTCGAAAGAAAAAGGACCAGAGTCTTTCACCTTTCTAACGTTTGTTCTTCGTTGCCTCTTTGGGGTTGGGGAGAGACATAGCCAAGTTTACGTGTGTGCGTGTGCCTGGGGAGGGCCCAGGACTAAGGGGCCCTGACGAACTCGCCCCAGTAGGCGTCCCCTAGGAATGTGGCACACTGTAGTCCATGCTCAAGTATGGTTACGCTGGCATACCCCCGAGGAAGAGTAAGTCGCTTCATTTGCGCACCCTGGTTTCCATGCCATGCTCTCAAACTTACGCGGCAGGAGCTCGGCCGCGGCATTTGCCTCAGCTCGGCTTTCTGAACGCATCTGGTGCTGTCGGAAGAATGTTGGAGTGTGTTCAGCCTTCCGTTTCAAGAAGCCCCGGAGATTCAGGTGGTCAAGGCGTGATGTACCTGTGCACGAATGAGGAGTCGGAGCGGCAACTCAGCGCTTACGGTGTCGTGCGTTGAGGTGAAGTAGGGAGTTCCTCACTGCACGAGACAACTTGCTGAATGGAAGTGCATGTCGTTCAGCTGAAGCAGAATGGCTTTTTGCCAAAGACCAAGGTATTGTGTCAAGTTCTTCAACAAGGAGGACATTTGCAGTGCAGTTGGACCCACTGATTAGTGACACAGCGTGTGATGCGAGACGAAGTATGGAACAAGTAGCAGCACGTCTGCTGCGTGGTTTGGAGAATTGATTATGAGCTGACGTGCCTTTGCTTCACTTGTGCTTTGAGCTTTGATATTGTTGCTGGAAGAAATTCTACAATGTGTCGGATTGTTTGCATGCGTCTTATCACGTCCTTCTCCTTTGAATCCGAATCGATTCGATCGACATCGATCTATCGATTCGATTTCCAGTTTACGGCGATCCTCCGATTTCCCACCTCCC